TTGATTGCAGGAATAAACTGAATGTTTGCCAGCAGGAGTCACTCTAAGCCTCCTAATAAAAAGTTCATAAATTAAACTATATGCTCTAAGCTCGCAAAGGCTGAGGTGATATTCTGAAAAGGTGGCTTTAGGGACATAGCGATGCTTTCCATTACGTGCAACAACAGCAGCATTATCAGATCATTCTATGTGCCTTTCTTTGTTCAACCTTGTTCTTGGTTTTTGTTTCTTTCAAAATTGGCTCTTGATAGATTTTTTTAAAATTGATGAATCAACTTTATTTATTCTTAATTTGCTATAGGGTGCATGTGCTTGCCAGACAGAAGGAAAGCAAGAAAACACTCCAAGGGGCATGGCCATGCTGCAGTCCCTCCTCCTCCATACTCTTCTTGGGATTTGGGGCAGGCACACTGTACACATGCCCAGTGTTTTTCAAGGTGCCGGTCTGGGACTCACACTGCATAGCTGGCCATGTGGGATTTACCCACCTTAACACTGATGCCACATGGCTGGCCCTCAATAGTTTCTTTTAAAGCAATGCGTATGGGTAAGGATATCAATATCTTAGTATTCTGTATGTTAGATTATTTCGGCTTTTTTATTTATTTATTTTTTTAGGAAGAACTGATTATGTCCTATATCATGTATTTGAATAGACATCTTTTCTATTACTGATTGTTGTCCCTCCTATTCTTGCAGCAGAAATCACTGGAGTGAGCTGTAGTCAGTGTGAAAGGAGATGTTAGCTCATGCCTTTCAGAAAAGAATGGGTCCAGTGTGATGACAAATTGAAATATTTCTGCAATAGCTATGAAATATAATAGTTTCCCAAGTACACACAAGCTCAAGAAGTTAAATTGTTCATTTATGTTTGATACTAGGATTGAAACATTGGATTAAAACCAATTAAATGTTCCTAGAAGCAACAAAAAAGTTTCCTGATTCATGAATAGAACCATTCAAACGGCACAGACACAATCCATGTAAAGTAATGAGGTGTTTTGTTTTTTTGGCAAAAGAGAACACACAACAGGCATGGGGGTTCTTTTTTTTAAAACTTTCTCTTTAAAAGTCTTTTTGGATACAAGGTCAATGAAATAACATACACCAGTTGGAAGGAGTAATGGGAAATCTAGGGCTTCACTTCACAAGGAAAACAACTCCCCTCCCCCAGGTGAGCGGCACAATAAAAATACTCTTTTTTTCTATCAGGGTTACATTCCTGAACTTAAGTCAACATCCTAAGTTACAGAACTAAACATGCTCTGCTTCTGCTTAGCAACCACAAATCCTTCCTTCGCCAGTTGCATGTATTTGGGATGCGGGTTCTGAAATACACATTCCTTTATTACGATCAGCGCCCCGAGTTAGAAACTAGCGCTTTATTTTCTCAAAAGTGTGACAACACCTCAGGGTCCTTCCTTGTCTTTAGTCAGGCACCTCACCGAAATGATCGTTTCTTTTAAACTTCAACACCTAACAACCCGGAAGCTAGACATCTGAAGCCCATGCGGTCCAGGGTTTTCCTGAAGCCTGGCTGGTGGGGGGACGGCGGGGGGGTACGGGGAGAGAAGCCCTCGGGGCCTCTCGCTCCTGACCCGGGTGCCGCGGTGGCGGCGGCGCGGCCGGGACTCGGGGCCACTTCCCGCGTCCCGGGGCCTCGCAAGCGCGAGCTCGGTGAGCGGCGCGCAGCTCAGCTCGCAGGACGCCCTCTAGCCCCGCCAGCGGCGCGCTGCGACCCCCCCATTCC